TACAACGACCAGCTGCGCGATTTGAAGGAGAAGCTGGAGGTCCTCGCCAAGAAGGAATAATTTATTGACGGAAATCGCCCATTTATTTACTTTATGTACTGGGTCTTTGTTTTTGCTTTGTTATGATGATCTTGATAAATTCCTGTCTGCAAAGAACGTGTTTTAATTCGATAGAATCAGTCGGAAAGGCTTTGCATTTCTAAAGGTTTCACTATGGACGGTTGGAGCGACGACGTGTCATAAATCGGGGACGCTCGCTGGACGGTTACTTTCTTTATTTTAAATGTGTTTTTTAGGTTGATCATGAGCCTCTAGTTGACATTCAAGCCCTTTTGCGCAGAGTGCCGCTTGGTTTCCAAGTTTCCAGGAGGACATTTCAGCCAAATGGAAGCGGCATGCGCCGAGGAAAAGTTTGTATTTTGCAGCTTCAATGGCATCAGACTCTTTTCGGCAACACTAAAAGGTTCTTTAGCATTATCGTGGGGGAACCCAAAGTATTCGTATGGCTAGACGGCCTAACGATTTAACAGAAAGTGTTTTAATAGTTGTTTAGTAATATAGATCTATTTCAACTAGAAAAACTTTAAAAGATGTTAAAAAGCGAAATGTTGGGCAAATATCAGTCATTTTAGTCCAAAATCTATTTTTTACGAATAATTTGTAAAGTTATTACGGTTAAGAATAGTAAAAAAAACCATGAAATAGATCCTAAGGAAATTCCTCCCCCCCCCCGATAATTCGAAAGAACCCATTAAAACGATGCAACCAATTCTTTTGCATGCGGAAAATGGAAACTCAGGTGATCCAAAGCCGACGGCATTGCAAGATAACGCTTTCGGGTGCGGTGTTAAATGCGGGGCGTGTTCCGTTAAGTCGCCCGGCATGTGGCTGTCTTATCGCAGAAGCCACTCGTTTTTCAGGGCCCTAAACAAAAGGAATACTGTAAAGGTTAATGACAGGCCTGAGCATTTCTGCTAAAACTAGACTCACAATGCGGAGGACCAGCTATCAAACAATGAAGCGGGGCCCGTCGGGGCAGTAAATCTGGAGTTACTGCAAGACGCGAGTTTCAAAAAAAGATCTTTCGAAGGGCGATAAGATACCTGCATAAATACCGATGATCGAAAAGCCAAGTGGGTTCAAAGCCAAAAAGGATGCTGAACTTGGCTTTGTCATTTTTCGCTCTTGGTTTCATCGGCTTGAAGGCGCAATGCCCGTCGGGCTATGATTATCTGAACGCCTCCGGGCGAAAGGAGTGTATCGAGGTCAAAGCGGGTAGGCAATATAGGGTATTAGTGGTCGTAATAAGCGTTCGCAGATTGCCAGGACCATTTTCCAGATCACCGTACCTTCGCATCGGCGGAATCGTCATGTCAGGCACCCGGTGGTCATCTTACTTCGATCCATTCGATACTCGAAAATGGTCTCATTGGTGCTTATGCGAAGTCGGGTATGATTTTCAGTAAATTTTCCGGTCCTTCAACTTTCGGGCAAGTGGCTCAGTTTTTTTTCTTGCTGGCCTGTCCATGTCGGCCTTAAAAAAAATACAAAAAAGGATTTTTCGCCCAAAAAAGGCTTTTTTTGTCCAAAATTCCCCTATCGCTAAGTTATTTTGATTGTTTTCCCACCTTAATATAGTTAATTTTACTTACAACACTGTTATAACATCTACTATTACATTACTGAACTGCTAGAAAAAATTTCCATCCCCCTCCCCGATAAGGACGAAAGAAGAAAGAACCAAAATTGGAAACACGTTTCATAAAGTCTGAATTTTGCTGATTTCCGGCCGAAGAAGCCGTTTTACCACTAAAAAATTTTCAATTTGTTCAAGAACAAGAATGTTCAAAAACAATGTATGTAGCATCCGCTATTCATCTCAAAAGAATCGAGGCTTGCGCGAAAAAAGGTGGTCTAATTAAAACTTTTTAATTTTTTCTAGCTTTTTCTAACTTTAAATTTTTTTCTAAATCTAATTTTCACCTAATTTTTATAATTTAGTGACGAGTTCCGGCCTCGTCTGGCTGGGCCTGACGCGCCCCACGCCCACTTCAACGTCGTGGAGCTGGAAAGACGGCTCTTCTTACGACTACCAGAATTGGGGTCATACAAGCAGTAAGCGATACCTTTTTTTTGTGTTATAAATCGTCAACCTAGCATCTCCGTCGGACGGCCTATGCGCGGCAATGAACGTTGCAAATCAACAGTGGTACCCCACGAATTGCAGCCAGTCGCTCGTCTATGCGTGTGGCGTCAAGTTTGGTATGTTTCCCGCCTGTAATGTTTGTATATCAGCAAGTTTGGTATGATTTATAGTAGTTTATCAAATTTTGTAACGGCATGCCTCAAAATGTACGGTTTTTATAGGTTGTCCGAGCGGGTGGCAGTACTTTGATTACACCAACCAGTGCTATTACGTAAGTTGGGCATATAACGTATGAAACTGGGTTCTGGACTGTTAACAGGAGAGGGACTAGTTTTTGTTTTTCCACGTTTGCCGGCTGATAATAAATATAATGTATTTTTCTAGCGTTTTTGGTGGATTTTGAATGGCAGATGAAAATTCGAAAATTTTTACCATTTTTGGCCATTTTACATATTGAACCAAAATGTCGTAAATTTTCGAAAATTTCTAAGCTTTTTTTTATATTGTGTATCTAAAAACTATGTAAAACCCTATAAAATGGTTTATATTTCGTTAAAGGGCCTTAGAGAAAAACTAGGAAAAATTGGTTCTCCCGCTAAAAATCCCCCCCGCTAACAGTCCAGAACCCGAAAAGGTGTAAATTCTATATTAGCCCGGTACCATTTAGAATGGCGCTCCAGGCAAAACCTACCAGCAAGCCCGTTCGTATTGCCAAGGGACGCGCGGCGGTGATCTGGCCTCGATTCACTCGTACCTGGAGTCCGATTTTGTCAACCGTCCGTTATTTAATTTCAAGATTTATTAAAAGATTACTAATAATAATATTTGAGCTATGAAAATAATAACTTCAGAAAGCATTCGACTTTAGAATACGTAGCCTGGCAGAACTGCGGTAGGGGCCAATACGGGGGCTATAATGGAGAGGCGCTACTTGGGGCCACGATGGGCAGAGGAGGTAGGTCTCGAAAAATTGGTACTTGACTTTTAGCGGGGGGGAGGAAGCCTTAGCTGGGGGACCAAGCCCACAGATATAAAAAACTCACAAAACAAAATAATAATTTTCGAAAAATTTTTGCTTTTGTGTCAAAAATTAATGGAAATTCCAAAAAAGTCGAAATTTTCGAATTTTCAAAAAAAAGTTTTTAAACTTTCAAGCAGTCGAAACCCCGCCCCCAACCCCCCCCCCCCCACCCCCCCTCCCCTTTTTATTTTTTTTTTTTTTTTTTTTTTTTTTTTTTTTTTTTTTTTTAAATAATTTTTTTATTAAAATAAATATATTTAATTTTTTTTTTTTTTTTTTTTTTTTTATTTTTATACGAAAATATTGTACAACTACACGATGTATTTCTTCAGGTAGGCGCAAAAACAAAAATTTGCGTTCCCCCGCTAACCTCCCCCCGCTAACAGCCCAGTACCAACCAATACTTACCCTTCGTTAGAAGTCCTGAGCTGGTCTGACGGTTCTTCGACGGCCTTCAAGCAAACGATGTGCAATTCCGAGTCGGGTGTTCTGCTGGTAAGGGTTGTTTCTAATTAGTTTCGTTAATTTTAAGTTTATAAGTGTAATTCATCGATTGTAGTTGTTGAGCTCGTACGGGATCGGGAAGCCGTTAATTCTCGTTATAAGCTGCCACTTTTATTACATTCCCCTACAGATGACTTCTCACCGCGGCGAGCCGGGTTGCGGCAATTGCTCATACGGGGACTGGTTCATGCCAGGTACAAACTTTCTTAATTTCGCTCCCCCCTCCCGATATTGCAAAAGAACCATTAGTTGCGGCCCGCTAGCCTTAGCCATTTTCAGGTTACACAGCCTCGAGCAGCAAGCAGTACGAGGCCTTCATCTGCAAGACACGCCCCTGGGGACATTGAAAATCGGAAGCAAAACGCTCGCTTTAATAAATTTTTGGCAGAGGAAGACTTCAATAAAAATTCTCATTAATGAGGAAGTGAAAAATTCGGTAAGTGTGTGTACGCTCAAATAAATTGAAACGAATTTTGGAGATTACGTTTTTCGGGTTGAAAGGGTTAAATGATTGTGGGAATGGTTTCTACATATTGAAACCACACCCGATTTGAACCAGCATTTCCAAGTCAAACCAAGCCGGTTTGAATAATTTTAACCTGGTTTCAATAAAACCAAGCACCGAAACAGTTTTGTTCTCTGCACTTCCGCGCTTTTGCGTTTCGGCGCCAATCCTTTTGCAAAAAGTGAGGGTCATTTTAGTCAACCGCGTTCCCGTACGGGAACAAGCCTTACTTGTGCAAAATCTGCCAAACTAGCTGATTCAAAAAATTATGAAGGATTTAAGTGCGAAAAGGGAAAAAATAGCCCAATTTCGCTAAATTCCTGATTTTTTCGCCCTGTTCTTAACTTTTTGAATCTGATCCTTTGGCAGATTTTGAAACCAGCTGCGAAATGAGCGCAAAGTTCTGCACAAGCCAGGCTTGGTCCCGTACCGGAACTCGATTTTCACTAAAAAATATCTCTTTGTTAGCGGTATTTTCTCGAGCTCTGCCCGAAAACCTTTAGTCTTTGTTCATTTACTTCAGTGATAAGGCTTCTGCAGGGTGGTGGTAAATGCGGGGCGTTTTCCGCCATGTCGTCCGGAATGTGGTTGTCTTATCAGCACCGCATCTTTTTTGGGGCCCTAAACCAAGGAGTTATGGTAAATGGCAGTGGCAGGCACGGTGTCGTCCCTTGCAAACAAAACACTGCCGGCCTGTCGAGCGCGATGCGCTGCTGGTGTGGCGGACGCGCATTCAGCTAATCGGCGATGTCCCTGATTGCGATAAGTGCCAGCATAAAAGACCAAGGGCCTCAAAGCGCCACGGCCGCGGATCTCAAAACGGGATGCGAAGCTGCACCTTACTCCTGCTCGCCGCCGGCTACATCGGGCTGAATGCGGATCCGGAATGCCCGGGCTATTACAGCTACTTGGATGCTGGGTCCCGGAAAGACTGCATTGCTGTGTATACAAGTGGGTCACACCCAAAATTTATCGGCACAAGCAACAGCGGCACCCCTATCGATACAAATGTGCGGGGCCAAAGTTTCGACGCAAATAACTTCAAAGCTAAAGCTAATCTTAAAAATGGATGGCTAACCTGCCTTTGGTATTATTAGAATCGTAAAATTCTGCTCTGCAACCATTGCTCTTGTGTTTTCAATATCAAGTCTTTTCGAAAAAGGTATAAGAGCTTAAAGGGCATCAGACAGCATGTGTCGATTGTCGATTGCCGTTTTTGATCCGCTTGATTGGCGGTGGGGCGTATCCGTGTCGAATTGGTCGTTGTAAAAAATGGCGAAGCATTTTTTGCAGGCAACCGAACTTTTGCCACGGCTGAAGGTGTGTGTGCGTATGAAGGCGGTCACCTTACTTCGATTCATTCCGCCTTCGAAAACAACCTCCTGGTAGCTTACGGCAAACAACGTGTGTCAATCCCCGTTTGAAGCGATCAGTATATTAAAAGTCACGTTTATCCGACAATGGCCTTTTTTGAATTCAGGGCTCGATTCGGGGAGGATGTGGCTGGGACTGAAACTCCCAGATCCGACATCATCAACGTGGAGTTGGCAAGACGGCACGTCACTTAACTATCAGAATTGGGGGCATACGGCCACCGCAGATCAGGGCCTATGCGCAACAATCGATCTGACGAATGGAAAATGGTACGCCACCCCTTGCAACACGACGCTCCCCCACATATGCGCCATGACCTTTGGTAGAACCGGCTCACCGATTCTTGATTATCAACTTTAGGTTGCCCGGCGAATTGGCGGTACTTTGATTACACAAACCAGTGCTACTATGTGAGTTTATTCATTTCACTCGTGGCCTTCGCGCGGGGGATCTTTAAAAGTTGGGCTTTGCATAATTCGTGCGAAGAACTAGAGCGAACCGAAAAATAGCAAAAGCAACCGGCCGCGAGCCAGACAAAATCCGAAATGAGCCTCCTAGCGCCTCGTATGCAATAGAGGATGTTTCCGTATGTGTTAAAATCGCTAAAATAAGGTATAAATCTTCATTTTATTAAAAATCTGTTAAGCTTGCTAATTTTTCCGAAAAAAGAGGCTATCCGATTTTTTTAGGCACAGCTTAATATTTCACGTTGTAACATATAATTTTGTAAAATCTAATATTTGTCCAGTCATCTCCAGTAGCAGGATAGGATGCATTGCTCAAAAATGACTTGATCTAGCCATTACGATTGCGCAAACGCGCGTGATATCGGAGAACCACAAAAATCGTCATTTGACGTTACATGGCATGACGTTGACCTGACGTTTTTTTGCGACTTGCTCGATGTCGCTGGGCGAATTCTCATGCTCCTATCTTTCAGGCGAACGAACAAGGCGGTAGCTATCAATATGCTAGGTTATACTGTCAAGGGACGCGCGGCGGAGATTTGGTCTCGATCCACAGCGCCGTCGAAGCCGAGTTCGTCGCCCGTCAGTTTTTTTGTGTTGAAGATAATTGAAGAGAAAGTATCATAATTACATTTCTCTCAATCGTTTAGGAAACATCGTCTGGCATCAATGCGGAAGCAATCAAAATGGAAAAAAGTATGGCGAAGCGCTTCTGGGAGGCATCTTTTCAAACGGAAGTCAGTTCCTACAGCAGTTTAACTAATGAACAATAGGTTTTTGCGAGCATTACATATTCAGAACTAGCGAGCTGGTCCGATGGTAGCCGCGTCGATTATGTCCACTACGTGTGGAGGGAAAAAGATGGTGTGCTGCTGGTCAGTTATTTCTTGGCACCCTCCGGCAGGCCTGGACGCGGACCGGCCCGGCAACCCGATTTTCCCGCCCCGGCGCGAGGTTCTCGGCCCGCTTCGCGAGGACTTTTAGGGTCAAAACCGTGGTTCGCCAAAAAACCTCCCGCCAAAATAGCTTAACACCGTCGTACGGTACTTAGCTGTTAATACGTGTTAGTGTGCCGTTAGTGCAGATTTTCCGCGAGGCAAATGCAAGGTTTACAACGATTTTTAAGCTATAGATCTCGGTGGCGCTTAGGATAATCAGATTAAATGAAACCATCTTTGGGTCTAATTTGCCATTTCAGTAGACCTTTTAATACTTCATGTTCTACTTCGATACAACATGAAAAAAGCCGCTCCGAATGACTGAAAAATCCAAACAGCAAAACAGATACCGGGTGGGGGTTGAACCCGGGTTGATTTCCTGGCAGGGGCTTAACTACGAAACGGGCCAATCTTAACTAGATTACATAACAACGCCAAAGAGGCTGTTTGCGAGCGACAAATATGCAAAATTCATCAACTTTCCGTCCAAAACCTTTTTACGTCGCCAAAAAACGCCAGGCCAGCCCGATTTTTTCCAATTTTCGGCCCGGTAAATCCCGATTTTTCTCCTCCGGTCCCGCCTTTCGTTCAACGCTGCCCTCCGGCCTTCAGTTTTGGAGGCCGGTTATCCTGGTTTAATAAGTTTTCCCACAACTACGAACTCAGACTTGTTCCAATGCGAGTTTTCCTACAGGTGTGTGGCCATGATGGCGGATCGGGCTGCGGGGACTGCTACAATGGGGATTGGTATGGGCCAGGTCGGTTTCCGCAAAACCAACATCTATCATTTCTTAGGGGCTATTTTCACCAAAACACCAACTATATAACCAATAAGTTTTATAGGATTTAGTCCGTCTAGCGGCGAGGCATATGCATCGTTCGTCTGCATGGCACGGCCATGGGGGCATTGAAGATACTAAGATGCATTTTTTAATAAATAATAAATACTCGATAAAATCGTCGCGACAAACAAGGTAGATACACATTCCATGCTGTCGAAACCACATCCGATTATAGGGGGCTGAGGAACCGTTTGCTGGTCCAAATTGTTGCACTAGAAAACGGCCCGGTCCCCACGGGGTTTTGATAACGAGCCAACTACACACCAATTCACTACTTTCTTGCAGCGATAATGTCCGAAGGTGCAGCTGTCGTAGTTGGTTAGTTGTAAGAAATATATATTGACTACTAAATCGTATTCAAAAAATTCCCTAATCTAAAAATTATATTATTTATAATGATTAAAAAATTATTTATAATTAAAAAACATAATCCGTATTCAAAAAAATCTCTAATGAAAAGCCACGGATAGTAAAATGGCTACGTGACACTCTTATGCACCCTCAACTGTTCACGGACGATGTAATTAGTTTTTCCACGTTGAAAAACGCGCATTTTTTAAAATAGATCCGCAAAGGACGGCGGTTCGGAAAAATGTTTAAGAGGTGTATTTTTCTGCGATTAGAAACCGCAGCTGAAGCGTCACCAGCCGACGCTATTGAGGTCGTCAAGATTTGCGGTGAATGTTCGCTGGATCGGGCATTGGAACGTCTTTTTCGATGCACCGAGTGCGACCTGGTAAATTATACCTTTGTTTACCTTTGTTAATTTTATGTTGGCATTGACCTGAGCACTGAGCTAAATTTATACCAGATATTATGCGGAGTTTGCGCCGTCCGAAAACATCGCACGCACGAGTTGCTCGAGATGCTCGGCCTCGAACTCGGCCAACTAGTCGAAACCCATCGAAAACCCATCACAGAAAATATCACGGGCCTAGCAGCAAATATTGAGCATCTTCACATCGAAATTAAGGTTAGGTTTACCTTACCTAGATATAGTAATTTTCTAAAACCTTCAAGTTTCATCTAGGAGCGCACCGGAAAGCTGGTCGCCGCCTGCTCGGAGAAGCTGACCGAGGTCGACAAGCAGCAAACGTTTGCCGACGGGAAAGCCATCTTCGATGAGGTGCGGCTGACCAGAACTGCTTTTGAGAATCTGTGCGACGCGTATTTTCCGGCCGTCCGCCTGTACAATGATGAGCTTATCCTGCTGCGCGAGAGGCTGGAGGCGTACAAGCCGAATGCTCCAGCTCCGGCAGATGATATTCCAGCGACGAAGGAATAAATATTTCAGTTCTTTAAGTATTTGGAAAACTCGAAATTTCAGTCCGAAACCCGCTTTTATCAACGTCTCCAAAATATTTGAGGTTTTTCTTATAAATCCAGAAATTGCTAGTGGCTTTATAGTAAGTATTTTAGTAGAGTTTTTAGTAGACTTTAGCTATTAAAGTGAAAAACAATGATAAAAACTACTAAAGAAATTTTTAGTTGAAATTTTAGCCCTTAAAAATGCAAGAACCCCCACCAGCAGGAAGAGGCCATCTTTGGTCCAAAAGAAATTTTTTGGATTTTTTTAATAAAATTTGTACTTTTTGCGGTTAGGACAGTAAAAATCGTTTTAGAAGCACACCTCTATCAATATTAGAACACAAAGCTTATAGAAAGTCTGTGCGTCTCCCGCCCTCTCCCGATAATGCGAAAGAAATAATTATTTTAAATGGTTAAAATCGTTAAATTAGGCCCCGCAGCCGGTTTTCGCGTAAGGAGCTGGCTATACGTATCTGTGCTACGCCGAAATTGATGGGTGACCTGGCCCCACCTGCTGTATTTTCTGTTGAAAAAGTATTGGTGAGTCACAAGCGAGTTGGTTACCTCACACCCCCAAAAAAACGGGCGCTGCCCCCTAATTCGTTAGTTTTATCTGTCGAATCGTTTTCCTTTTTCCAATTTCTTTATACTCTCCGAACTTACGAATTTAAAAAAATTATTAATAGATTTTTTAAGCACGAAGAATAATTAGCAGCTACTTTTTCCGCTAGTTTTTTTTGCTTTCTATAAGACCGAAAAAGTTTTGGCGCTAATTTTTTCAACTTTATAAACCTCTTTACCGCTCGATAACTTTCAGAAATTAAACTGTAAAAACACACCCGTTTTCAGAGCGATGGGGCAAAAGCTCTCTTTCCTGCATTGCGAAACCTGCTCGGCGCCATTCAGCCCCGAGATAACCAGCCTAAATACGCCAATACTCGGCCAAAACGGCACTATACGCTGCAGCAGCTGTATCGATGAGGCACCAGGAAATGCTCCAGCCCAATTTATCATCGATCTGCTCAATTCGAATGCCGTACGGTTGAAAGCCAAGAAATGGATCGCGAAATCTCATCTCCCGCCGTTGACTTGCCGTAGCTGCGAGGCCGTCGATTTGCTGATGATTCTGGGTAGGTTATGAAACCATAAACTGAACTAATTTTCTATACTTCCGAGGTTAACTTAGTTTGACCCATAGGATCTGTTTTCTGAATATTGAAAGCGAAGGAGTTTTTTTAAGGTAAGCTTTTTTGCTCTTCAGGAAAGCAAACCTTACGAAAATCCATGAAAAAATAAATAAAAATCTAGATTTTGCTCAAAACTTTCTATTTTTGAACGGCTTCCGAAGTTTTATAACAGCGTTTCCGGCAAATAAAGCTAGGTTTTGGCTAAAAATAGTTAGTTTAGTTTGACAACCAAAAAAAGTGAAAAAAATTATTACAGTATACCTTCCAGAGTGCGGTCACGTCAACTGCGAGCGCTGCCGGCGCCTCTGTCCCGATTGTGGAATTCGTGGCCGTGCGAATCCTTACAGTGATGTCGCAAAATTCTATCAAGAATACTTTACATTCACGAAAAAAGGGTCGAAGAATACACCGCAAACCCCAGAAACAACCAGGCGTACCTGCTCGGCTTGTGGCCATGAAGATTGGCTCGCCGAAATGCTTTACTGCACCAAATGTGCAGAAAGTCTATGCGGATTTTGTGTCATATCCCTCCATAAGGACCACGAACCTATCGACAGGCTAGTCGAAGTAGAGACCCGAAATTCAGCCAAGAAATTCACCAGACTTGAACGAATCCGGAAAAGCTTCGGCCGGTCAAAGTCGCCAAAACCGAATTTAGGCCCAAGTACAGCAGAAATAGTAGCCCAAGAAGCCACGACCGCTCCTGAAATCGAAATCACGTATCGGCGTTGTAAGAAGTGCCAAAAGGAAGCGGATATAGATTACTGCTTCCAGTGCACCGGCTGCAAGGAAGGTCTTTGTGGCGGGTGCACAGCGCTTGGGCATCGAGAGCACCAAGTCGCCCGGTTGTTCCAATATGAGCTGGAGGTGATGGCGCTTCGAACACGGGCGTATCTAGATGGACACTACGAGGGATTGGCGAGAAACATTCACGGTGTACATTCGTACCTTGACGAAACTATCGCCAAATTAATAAAATCAAACCAACGCGCGATGGCCATCGTTGATACAACAGATCGATATTCCGTAGGGGCAAAGGTGAACAACTCGATCCTCAGCACCGCCACGGATTTCGAGAGCCAACTGGAGGCCTATCTGCGTACCGTCCGAATCTTCAATGAAGAGCTCCAGAGGATGGGCGAGCAGCTACAGCAGACAATACCTCAATAAATAGCTAAAAACACCTCCATGCACTCTTGTTACTTTATCCCTTCATTCACATAGACATAGGTTAGCAAAAAACATACACATACAAGCAATTCCACCGAAAGACAAAGCGGTGCAAGACAAATTGTACAGAAAATGAAAAATGGGAAAGTGGTTATGGAGGTGGGTTCTTCAGGCTATGACGCAGCTGTCGCCCCCGAGAAGCGCCTTCGACCGTCCCGTGCGCTTTTTCGGCAACCTGAAAAGAAAACAGTGATAAGTAAATATAGAATCTTCGTTATGTTTCCTATAATCCATGCCTCGTCCTTCTATTTATCCGTCCCTGGTAATTTTTTTCCTGGCGGCCCCGGTTGGCATAGTAATCAAAAATATAGTATTTTTGCTTCTTTTTAACACGTTCTAACTAGGTTTAAAACAGAAAAACTTTTTAACAGTTAGAAAAATGTTGTAAAAGTCGAGAATTGGTCATTTTGGGTCGAAAACCAATTTTTCGGTCCTAAAAATTAATTTTAAATTAAAAATTTGTACAATTTTTATGCTAAGAATTAGCTAAAAACAATGTCGAAACGCCTCCGCTATTTATAAAAAAACTAGGCTTGCGCCGAAAAAGGTTGGGTTTTAGAGCAACTACGGTAATCGAAATATCAATAAAAAACCACGTACTCCTCGTTCCGGCAGTCATGTTCGTCGGGTACTTGATGGGGCACACAAACCGGTTTCTGGCACGACTTGCACGTCACCACCGCAAACTAGAAAAAACAATTAAATAAATTGTTAGGGCGCTAAATCTCACCCCAGACTTCGTGCAGTCGGGGACGCTGCACCGGGGTCCTCTTGCCCCCGCCCATTCCATGTACCGTTCCTTCTCGGGCTTGCACAACGGGCACGGTGGGTTGTTGGCCTTGTCTCGCGTCTTTTCGCTCGCATCCGCGATGCTTGCTGTTGACTGGCGGCAGAGTGGACACATCGGTTTCTTCTTGAACTAAAAAGAAGATCATTGGTAAGAGACACGAATCGTTTAGAAAGCCCAAAAATGCCCAGTAACGTAATAGCAAGTGTTTTATGAGTGTGACATCCATCTCCGTTTTTGACGCAATATAACACTCCTACAAGATGTTTTTTAGGTAAAATTTTGCACGAAAACAGGCCAGCGTTAGTAGGGAAATAAAATTTTGCCTGCTTTCATAAAAATCTAGTTTTTACGCTTAGGAATAGAAAAGATAGATTCAGATAAAGCACGACTTTTCCCCTTCACGATAATGCAAAAGGACCCAATTTCAAAAACGAATGCTCGTCCAGTCTATCCAAAAAAAAACACGAGTCGACGCGCTGTGGGGGAGGTGGTAAAATAAAATTTGGTCAGATAGGGCTGCTCTCGATTCTGGGATATACACACCAGCAGTC